ATGATAACTTTCAGGCCGAGCTCCTGGGATTATGAACCAGGAGTGCTCTATGGGCCCTGGGTCATGGAAACGGACCCCCCCAAGTTTTATTTGGCGCTTCCAAAATATTGGGTGTTTGGCCATTGGTGTAGGACTTGGTCCGATTTCATGGCCCAAATCAGAGGGGAAAGTTGTCAATTCGTGTGAGTTATTTCCATCGGCCAATGTATATAAAATGATGTCACATGGCACGACTCTACTCGTAAAAAAAAAGCCCGGGCCGGGCTGATAGATTTATTAATTTCGACCATGTCTGACTCATGACAAAGCAAAACCGCGCGTACGCTCTGCAGCTAGGACTTGGAAAGGGTGCGGATTCAGAATCGAAGATTCACAGCTCGCAAAACACAACTCCTCCTTGACAAACTGTTCCTTCTTCGCGTCGTTTCCAAAGGCAGACACGTCGTACCCATTTTGACGCAAGAACGTGTCCAGGTCTTGCACTTCGCCCTCCTCGTAGAAGTCAGCGTAGTCCTCCTCCCTCTTGTAGGTGTTCATGTTGAACTTTGTGTACTTGCGCTTGCGGCCATCTTCTGTTGGATTGGCATTCAGTGTACGCTGCTCTTCCCAGCTGTCATTGAATGCCTGCGCACTCAGGAAGTATACAGTCAGTCAGTAACAGAATAGTTTAGTAGCAGTGGCAGTAATAGTCGTGTTAGCAGGTGCTATCGGCGTCAGCGATAACTGGCGATGGCGAATGGTGATCTGAGTCAGAAACATAGACAATCCATCGTCTTGATCTTAGTCTATAGTCAGACGGGCTCAAATAATCAATGAACAGTGTATCAATGGCCAATGCCGCAATGCCAATGATTTCAACTTCTCCATGCGGACTAGTACTAGTACGAGGACTAGTACATTCACGTTGCCATCTTCTGCTTTGCAACAGACCATCCTAAAGCAACTGCTGACCCACTGGCCAGCCTCATTGTTCTCCTTCATGCCATTCAGCTCTGTCTGAGAGATGGCGCCAAAGTTCTTCGTGCGGGTGTTCTCAGCAGCGGTGTGAAAGGTGAAGCAGTGGCAAGTAGAGGCACACGTGGTTGAGGTATTGTCACTGACAGAATGGTTCAATGACAGTCATAGTCTATTCTAGTCTAGTGACAGTCTAGTCGTTAGTGTAGTACTGTTTTGATTTATCGTTTGGCCTCCTCAAAAACTCACAAAAGCCAAATCTTTGAATCTCCAATCATCCCAAACAAAACATATCAATCAACCAAAATCGTGACTGTCACATGTTTTGAGACCAAATGGCAGTACAGACGCCACACTCATTCCCCTGCTCGATGTCGCGGGAGCCGGAGACCTGGCCAGTGCGGCGAGCAAGTTTTGTCGTCTCTACGACAGCTACCGCTAATCTCTTGTCTTTTCTTTTCAACAGTGCTGCGCGCCAATAACAAAAATAAGTATATAACTACAAGTCCACGCTGTCTATGAGACTATTAGCCTATGCGGCCACTGGTGTGTGAACAGGACAACACTCACACTGGTCCGAATCATTCATGAACGTTGCCCAGCCTTGCAAAAGCCTTTCTTCGGCCAAAAGAGCAATCCACCGTCCGAGCGATAGCGATCCGGCTCACGAGCTTTTTGTTTGCAAGAGGTGCAAACAGGAAGCGGCAGTGGCGGCAACGACGAGTCCATGTCAGTCATCGCTAAAGCTTCAAGACTATTCAGAAATCTGTGGCGAATCACCTCGATAGTGAGTGAGAGCCGTTTTCCAGAAAACTTGCTTGAGCAGCGGCGAATCAGAGTTTGAGCTGGCTGCAAAGCACATCAGTACGTGTTGACATTACATCAAATACTGAAAAACAACAAGAAGAAGTTCTTAGAAGTTAGAACCAGCCAGTGTTTACAGCTTGTCCGGTCACAGTCTAATCGCGTCGACTGTTTGTATCTTTTCATGTGTGCTTTCTACCGATCTGCGCGGGAAACTGAATACCGACGCCGACGCCGATACTAGTTGTAGTCGTAGCCAGTAGTTCAGTTAGTGCGCAAACAATTACTGTACCCAAACAGTTTACTGCTGGGGTTCTATTAGAAAAAGAGTGGCTGGGTGGGCTGTGTGGCTGGGCTGTGTGGCTGGGCTCTGTGGCCCGGGTTTGTGTCCAGGCCTTGTCCTCCTCTTGCCCTCCTCTTGGCCGCGCCCCTGAACTCTGTGTCTGGGCTCTGTGGCCCAGCTCTGTGTCCAGGCCTTGTCCTCCTCTTCTCCTCCTCTTGGCCCCGCCCCTGAACTCTGTGGCTGGGCTCTGTGGCTGGGCTTTGTGGGCGGCTCTGTGTCCAGGCCTTGTCCTCCTCTTGGCCCCTTCCCGACCTCTTCCCGACCTCTTCCCGACCTCTTCCCGACCTCTTCTCCTTTTTGAGAGCTGACAGGGTTGATTTGGCGATAATTGGGTGATGGTGGCGTGGTGCCTCTTCTGTCACTTCTGTCACTTCTGTCTTTTGACCAGCGAGTGACAGTTTCCCCTTTGAGTTGGCCAGGGGCGGGCCCATGAAGCGAGAAATGCGACGCCGCATTCCAGGAAAGGCCAACAGGTCCTAAAAGGCAGTTTTTGGACGCGACCTTTGTAACCTAGTTTGAGAAGCTTTTTAGAAACAAGAAAGGTCGCGTTTAGGGTCTGTTGGCTCATGATGTTGGCTAGGTCGATAGGCCATGGCCTTAGCATGGCGCTAGATTCAATTTCAAGAACGCGACCAGTTTACCAAAACAATTTGTCAAACCAAGCTGCAATCTTGGCTAATGGGGCAGCAACGTCGAATCCTGGAACCTCAGACTCAGGGGTGTGGTATGGTATGGCTAGTAGATATTGACAGTCATGATTCATGATGGATCAGGTCAAAGTTGGCTGCTCGGTAGAAGCAGCAGCAACTGCTGCAGTAGGAGTAGCACTACATGCTGGGTCTCACACCGGCTGATAATTGTGTGATGTAGTGCGGGCATAGTTGATGGCAGCCCAAACATCACATTGACCTATCATCTCTTTCATCACTCCTTCAAAGTGCTTCACAAGAGCTTCTATTTGGTCCTTGGAAGCAAAACATGTGTGCTGTGTGAGTGCTGCTACTACGACCCGACCAAAACTTGTGGCCTAGGCGCCAGAATCGCTTCTCCCACTGATTCCACACGGGGATAACTGTCTTTGCGTATCATGACAAAGTACAACCTGGGGCGCCTCTGTGGACAGCCAAAGTCTGAAGACCTGAGTAGTATGTGAAGCCTCGCATCACATTGTGAACCGATTAGGTTAGTTAGTAATATAGTATATCATATCATAATATCAGTTTAACTGTAGTCTATTTGATGTATGTAATTACCCTACCAAGAAACTGTAGCCGCAAGATGCGCATCCAATAGTCCGGAATCAAGGACAAACCAATTGGTTCGTCATTGGCCAAATAGCCAAGTTTCATGTAGTCCAGCGGAGTCTGGCGAAGCAAAGGTCCACATTTTTGGCTGTGAATCTATGAGATGAACGATGTCAGGACGATCTGGACCCTAGAGCCTACAACAAATACATCTGAATCTAATCTAGGATCCCGGATCCAACAGAAATCTGAATCCAAGAGAAACTGCACAAGACAAACCTGATTGCCGACGATCATAGTCTATTTTTCAAACGTAAGGTTCCCCGGTGTGTAAAGATCGTGCAAACAACCAGCACAGCAAAAGATGCTGTGACAGGGCTGGTGTGAATTCATCAACTCAGCAACGCCATATCACAGCAGTGCATGCTCCTGTGGATGAAGACATGTGCACTGCCAATCTGTCAGCATACGACTACAACAGCTCTACAGCCAGCAGCAATCAACGCGGGAGGATTTGCAAACCCTGCAGAGAATCTAGAGCCTCTGCACAAATTTGTCTCTCCTCTTCACTGCCACTCTCTCTGATGAGATCACGAAGCCTAGAGATTGATGGTTGAAGCTCATCTGGCTTCATTTGCACAAGGCATGTAGGATGAATTGATCTGCATGGTCTTCGTGTGTTGTATGAAAACTCAAACCTCCAAGTATCCTTTGCCACAGAGTCACCACAATGAAGGCACTTCATTCCAGCGCGCTTGGCTTTTCCTACACCTTGGATTCCCAAAGTAGCCTGGAAGAAGGAACCACCAGGACCACCAGGCCGTTTCTTTGTTGCTTTTGACGGAGGAGGATCCAAGCGGGACGGCTCAGCCGGCGGCTCTGCCGGGGTGCGCCCTGCTACGTCATCCAGCTCACCGTCCAGCTGCGCTCTCCAAGCTGCCTCGGAAGCTCGTACTGCTGCAGCAAACTCAGCCTTTGCCTTGTCGCTGAGCACAAGTGGATTAGCATCCTCATCGGTGTCCTTCAAACTGGCATCGTTAGCCTTTGCGTCGGCAACCGGTGGATTGGCAATCTGTGTCCTGCCAGTGTTCAGTGTCATTATCAGTGTAAGTTTAACAGTAACCGTATCTGACCTGTATACTGTATACTGTATCAGTGTCGTGTCGTCGCATCGTCGATAATATAACATGTGATGTGATGTACTGTACTGCCGACATCATTGGTTTAAAACAGACAGCGGCGCTAAACTTAAAACCATGGCCTGGATGGAAGGTCTCTCGAACCGGAAGATGTGTTTGCAGCGGAAGACTCTTCCAACGGGTCACAAAAGTTGCTCTTGTTGCTGGCATTGGATTGGTCTACTGCTGGCTTTCTCTTGGCTGGTCCAATGGGCTTTGGCTTGGACTTCTGCTGCTGGAGAATGAGTGCCCCAAGCCCAAAGCTCAGCCTGTGCGGCGCAGCCCGGATAGGAGGTTGCTTGATGGCCTTTTCAAAAGCTTGGCCAATGCTTCGCTTTCTTGAAGGCTCGAGCGATTGCAAAACAAACTGGCAGCCATCTGTCCCAGCTGTGCGGGTAAAGTTCTCGAAAAAGTGCACCTGCTGATGACGGGTAATGCTCTGCAACTTCAGGGGACAAAGACAAACCAACTCCGGGATCAACCCAAAACACAAGCACACAGACTCAGAGACAAACGACAAAGATACAGATTCAGTGATGCAGTGATAAACCAAAATTTATCCGCAGACGACTCAAAACAGCCCGCCTCCAATCCAAAATGACACAAAGGTTGCTTGTTTGCCTGGTGCATTTTCAGCATCCGTGCAAACATCTGGTGTGAAGTCAAAATGGTCGGCAGACCATTGTTCACGACAAAGGCAACTGAAGTCTCTGAGGTTGGATAAACCTTCATCACTATTTGGGCCTTTGGTCTTTTGCCCACACAACCTAGAAGCATCCATTCGGATGGACTTGGACATGTCCTGTCCCCAAGAGCCGGAATCCATCGTCGCACTTGATAGACAAAGTGAATCAAGACTGGACTTGACTCGAGTTTCTCTTCTTGAAGGACTGAGTCAAACTGGTCAACCAGCTGTGCGGCATGAGCAAAATGTGGTTCCTGTCGACAAATTGCACCATGTTGGCATAGGCAAGACTTGTGGAAGGTGAAAGACGAGTCTGAGTTTGGTTGAATGTTGGAATCATAAGCGAAATGGCTCTGCCACTGCTGATTGACAGTCTCCTCTGGCAAGCAACAAACAAGAGAAGCTCGGAGGGCAGAGATATGATCTGACAACCTCAGACCAGCATCCCATGCGGGATGCGTCGCCACTTGAGCCAAGGTGGCATCCAATCGCTCCTGGTTTAACCTGTGGCGCTGCGCTTCTGACAAAGAATTCTTGCAGTCGTCTGATGGCTCCTGGTTCAAGGGACACTGCCTGAGCCTCCTTCTTGCCTTGCTCAGACCCATGGCCTTCTTGGCCCAGAGCTCTCTCTCATCTGTTGGCATCAATTTCCACGTCTCGGCTACAGACCGGTTGTGGTTGGAAAACTCGGCGCTTCCAACCTTGATGCTCAATCCTTTCCTTGGTCGAATCATTGGTCATAAAAACAAGAACCGGGCCGTAACATTGGCATATTCCAAATGACGACAAATCAAAAACAATACAGTATATTGGCAGTGACATCGAACCGGACCAACCAAAAAATGTCGCTGCACTGTTTAAGCCTAAGCTGCTTTGCGCTCTGCTGGAAAGCATTAAATGCAGAAACTCGCCGTGGTTTGACTGTAGAGCGATCTTTCCTGACCTTGCCAGGCTTCACAGACCTTGGCCCACAGCGCGAGGAAGAGCAAAACACAAGACCAGACCAAAGTACAACATTCGTTCCTGCTTTGATGGATGATTTTCTGCGCAAAGCAAATGAGGCTATCGCATAATTGTCGGAAGAAGCCCCAATTTCTTGGACTTCGTAGATCTGCAAAGCTTTCTCAGAGGGGGAGCACCAGTATCAACTACACGGGACGCCAGAATCCTCAAGACCTTCTTCTTGGCAGACCCTAGCACCGCTTCCTCAACTGTGTGTTTTTTGCGCTCGTGCTCGAGAAACGCAGAAAGAATATATGAGTCTTGTTGTAAAGTAGCAGGCCGCTTTGCCCGGTACATCTTCGATGTAGTATCGATCTGGACGTTAGCGTGAGCCTTCTCCACCTCGCGACATTGTGACGAAGGCGCTCCCTCTACAGTAAACCGTAAGCCGCTTTAAGTTAAGTTATATAAATTATATATAAATATATATTATATGATATAATTATTAATATTATATTATTATAACAAATAATTAAATAATAATAATTGATAATATTATAGAACCATGAGACACGAGCCAGCCTCCACGGATGATGCTGGAAGCTCACACAGAACGTCCCGAATCAGAAGTTGTACAGAACAAAAACGTGCAACTTGCTGCTCTTCACCAGAGTTCTCCGGGAAAACAAAGTCCATCAAAACCTAAGCAGAACAAAAGGGCGACCGGAACTGGCTGCGGGGTCGTCCCGGATCCTTACACACACACAAACCACACAACTCCACGACTGGCTTGCCTTTTGCTCCAGAACTCTTGCTGGACATCAGTGGTGAACATAGACAGGCAGGTTGATAGACAATGGTTAATTTTTGTTTGTCTAACAACACACTACAAGGATTGCAGTCGCCAGTTATCAGCCCTGCTGACAACGGCCAACATTCTGGGAATGTAGGCCTGGTTTGAACGCCCGCACTCAAAACCAAAGCAGCAGACAATCATTCGACTGACTGTAGGCTGTAGACTAGCATGTGCGCTCAACGCGGCGGCAGAGTCACTACCACCGTGCTCACAACCCTCACTTCCAAACCACCATCGCTGGAAACACTTGGTCCTGGTCCTGGTGGCCCCGGGTCCGGGAACAAAGGCGGAGCATCAGTCTGCAAGCGAGCCGATCGCCTCAAGACCGGCGCAGGGGTCCAAGAGGGTGAGGAACCTTCGGAACCTTCGTCTGAGTGATGAGGCGCTCGTCGCCTTGGAGACCGGGATCTTGATGGACTCAATCGAGATGGGCTTTGGTAGCTGCCTGGAGATTCTGTCGCGGCTTCATCTGGATGTGGCACTTGAACTTCTAGCTCGGTGTCGGAGCGCATGTCTTCCGAGTCCACCTCTGAGGTTGCCACTCCTGGTACATCCGTAGGACGTGGAGGGCCTCCACCTGCATCACCATCCCCAGAAAATGCCTGCGTGGCCTGAGGGGGAAGATGATGAATCGCGGGGTGCTCTGCAGCTGTGGACATCATATCATCAGAGCCAATGCCAGTTGCCACACATCCCGTTTCTGCCGCTTTTGATTTTGGTGTTTCTTGCGACTCCGGCTCCAAGCATTCCTGCGCGGACTCTTGACTTGAACTCTGGCTGGATGATGTCAATGTGAAAGCGCCAGGGCACAAGGTAGTTTGCCAGATTGGACTAGACGAAGGTTCCACACCGCCAGAGCCATGCACACTAGGCCATGGAGCCAGCCCTTCAGACCAGTCCTTCAGCCATGGCGGCCACTGTGGCGCAGCATCATCAGCAGCATAAGCGCCAGCATCGGCAGCATGATGTGACAACATCTGGCTCATCTGTGTCGGGAGGGGTTAATGCAGCAGCACAAAACTATTTCTGAGCCAACAAAGAGAAAAGAAACTTGGGGTAGCGGCACCGGTAAGGAGCAGGAGGAGGGTGAATGAATTCTTTGAAAGCGTCAAGACTGGTGTGCTCAAACGCGATGTCCACTGTAAAAAACGAACGTCCGGAGTCCGGCCCCAACAGCTCTTCAAGCCTAGAAACTTGTGAGAAAAAGCGATCCTCACAGAAGCTGCAGCCACACGCTTGCTCACGGAGCGTCTTCATGAACGATAAGCCAGTGTTTGGATCCATGCGGATAATTTTCAAGACCTGAAACGGTAGACCTTGGTAAGGCAGAACCAGACGGCGCCAGGAATCACACATGGCCGGAATGATCAGCTTCATTGAATCCTCCATTGAAATGTTCAACACCCGGTGCAGCTCCTCCGTCTCCACAGTTACCAAGAGCCGCATAAACTCACATATTGCGTCCCAGCCAGCCTCACCAGAAACCATTTGCAAGTTCATTTCTGCAAATTCATCAGCCGATTGCTGGCAGTGGCTCTGCTCCAAAGCCAACCCAGATCTGCGATGTCGTAAACGAAATCGGATGGTTTCCATCAGAGATGCCCGGTCCATAAAAGTGCTGAGTGGTCGAGCCAGCACCAGCACTTGTGCCAATTGAGCCTCGGATATGTCAGTTGACACGACAAGTGGTTCAAGTTCTAAGTTTAGCTTCGTAACCACTTTGTCTATGACATGATCTTCGATAGTTATTGAAGTTTAAAAACTCAGACTAGAAGAACATGAAGTAAACATTGGCAAGCGTCGACCATATGTGGGTGCGTCAGCATCCTGAGGACCTTGTTCATTCGGATCCGCTGCTTCACAGCAGGAGCCACATCTGGGCTATCTTCATCTGGCATATTGTCCTCCTGATCTTGGTAAGCAGTTTCTTGATCGGTGTTCTGCACACAGCGCTCCCAAATGTAACACAACAAACCGTGAATCATCAGGTTGCGAAGTGTGTACTCTGCGGCACTGTCCCAGTGCTTCCATCTATATAGCAGAGGAACCTCAAACAAAGACCTTGCTGTTGCATCCAAAGCTGACCGCATTTTGGATCTTGAGGTTTCAAGGGAAGGGCAGCACCCTGGCGGGCACCAGTGAATGAGGTGCCCCTGCTCAAGCGGCAAGCTCCAATCGTGATTCATCATTGCTAATACAAGCTTCCGGTCTTCATCACACATGTCCCGTGAACACAAATTCATCTTGTAGCTATTTGACCGCATTGACTCCAGGATAGTCTCTGGCATCTGAGCGACACAACGGCGTTCAAAGGACGCAGCAAGGTGTTCCAATGTGGATTCGAAGCGGGAGATGAATGCGGAGCTCTTGGCAGCGTGCGCCATTCGAACAAGTCCTTCAAGGGTGGGTGAATGAACACGTCTGAATGGGGAGGTGGTAGGCACTGCTAGAAGTTAGAAGTTAGAAGCGCATTAAAGCGGCTGACTACTTATAAGTAGTCGTGTGCGTTGCGGCGCTGTCCTGACGCGATGCCATCAGCACTGAGGACCAAAGGCTTCTTCGCTAAGGCTGCTTGGTGGTGGCAGCAAAAAGTATACAAGAGTGCGACACGTACATCAGATTGTTTCATGGTAGCTTCTTGTTCCATACCAGCTACTGCCAAGTTGGTTGGCAAAGAATCTGTACCTCACACCACAGTATCCGAAAAAAGTTCAAGTCGTCTAGTCTAGTCATAAGTTACTAGTTAAGTTATTAAGTCAAAAGAAAAACACTGCTAGGCTAGGCAAAACCAAAAGTCATGTGAGAGCGACGAACAAAGGAATTTGCTGCAGTGCCTTTTGTAACTCCTGTCCCCCGAGAGCTTCTGCAATGCCACGGGGTCCGCCCAGCACACTCCACCTCGTTATGCGGTCGTACAGTGTGCCAGCGTTTGCCTCAGGGCTGCTCACAACACAAAACAATGCGAATTCTGAGTCTTGAACTTGAACCAAATTAAATACCCAAACTGCCCAAAATTTGCCTTGGGAAGGACTTGTGAAGGAACATGTACTTGCGCAGTTTGCAAACCATCAGATCCAGCAAAGGTCTCCGCAATCTCATGAGGCCGAATGGACAAGCGCTGCACGATTCCCAAAAGAGGCGCCACCTTCCTTCGGCCAAGTTTGCCCATAGTGCGTCCAACTGGCTCTTCTGTGGCCGCATCAAATTTGTCTGGTCTCTCATGCGGCGATATCAAAGCATTGGTGTCGTCCACCACTCTCGTCAAAATCGCATGATCAATGGTACAATGGGTCAGCCATTTGACCAAAGCCTCCTTCTGAGCAAGAAGATGGCTCAGAGTTCCAGTTTTCTTCATGCGATTCAATTGCGAGTCCCCTCGCACAGAACACTGATAACCAGTGAGGTTGCCAGTTGAATCCTCATAGTAGCGGTAGGACAGCCTCAAACGAATAAAAAATTGAACTCGCAATCAGGAATCAGAATTGCGCCAAAGAGTCAATGAGATTAGATTTGAAAAGACCAACTTCTGAAAAACTTGAAAAGTTGCGGCTTATCTTGACTTGGTAGCATATGCCTTGCGTTCGCAGAGTTGTGACCGCGACCATAGTTGCTGAACACGATGCGGACAAGGTCTTGCCCCGTTTGGCTCGCAAAGTCCACAAACCGATGCGCTTTCTCAAGCGCTTTGCGCGCAAGACCATTCTTGATCAAAGCACTGTGGGAGGCCCCTTTTGAATACTGCTTGGTAGGAAGCTTCTCACGGTTGCGTTCAATGAACTTCACAGCAGCTTGCAAGACATCCAAACCACCCTCCTGACTCTGCAAGTTCTGTGATTGGTCCTCCTGACTCTGACAGGCTTGACCCCCATCAAGCTGTACATGTGGACCGTCACCCCGACTCTTTCTGCTGCGTTTGGTTTTGTAGAGTGCCAGCAGCGGCATTGCGTCTGAATTCACATGCAGAATTCAGAATAAGAATTACGAAATTGATAGATACAGTGATGCAGCGCAGTTCAATGATATGATAGGTACCCCCCTGAAGGACCCCCCCAGTGACGTTGAAGCTTTGGAAGTTAGTTGGAGAGACAGAGACATTTTGCGTGCACTGAGCAAAGGGTTGAAAACGGCAACCACACACGCAAGTCACCGCTTCACTTCCTTGACAAGTTAAAAGCATCATGCAGCCCAGCCTGGAACACAGACGTTGCCGGAGCGTTCTTGGAGCGTCTGGTGCAACCCTCAACGTTTTCTAATATCACTGCTTTTGGCCTCCAAAAAAAATCCGTGCACTGGCCACGCAAAAGAAATTCAGTTCCTGAGCCACACCTGAAATATCGTATGTATCTGCTGCACTCGATGAATGGCAAGGCCTTCTTCGCCTGAGCTTAGACTGGACTCCTTTGTGAACACACCGAAACAACATGTCAGAGTCAGTACTTGAGGCCAGAGGGGGTGAACGAAAGCTAGCCGGGCCTCCTCGTCCAAACAAGTCGGGGGGCGGGCTGCACAGTCACTCTCATTGGGTAACTGCCGGTCCACTTGCAAGTCCCGTGGGAAACTCTAGAGAAGCAGTGTTAGTATGTTGCTGCTGCTGCGGCGGTGGGTGCTCTGCTGCTGCTGCTGCGGCGCTGGTTGGTATGCTGCTGCTGCTGCTGCTGCTGCTGCCGCTGGGTGGTCTGCTGCTGCTGCTGCTGGTGCTGCTGCTGCTGGTGCTGCTGCTGCTGCCGCTGCTGCGCTGGGCGCTGCTGCGCTGGGTGCTCTGCTGGCGCCGGGTCGTCTGCTGCTGCTGCTGCGGCTGCTGGCGCTGGGTGGTCTGCCGCTGCTGCTGCTGCTGCTGCTCTGGGTCTGCTGCTTCTGCTGCTGCTCCTTTGTGGTTTGCTGCAGCTGCTTGGTGGTAGACTGCAGATGCTTGGTGTGCTGCAGCTGCTTGGTGGTCCCGCTCACCGCACGCAGGGGGGAGTCGAACCCCGGGGGGGGGTCCATAAGATTGATTTAATCAATTATTTGAGGTTTCTGAGGTGCGTCCACCCCGTCACTTAACTTGCTAAAGCAATAGCAACTCCAGCTAGCTAAGGCTAGCTTTCGTGATTTAAATGACTAGACAGACTCAGACAAACAATAACATTTGCAACTCCACGAATGCAACCCACATCAGCATGACTCAACTGAACTGGGCAAGGTGCTGTGGATGCAGATTGAAACAAACTCTCCACATCACGTTGATATCGGGTCGTAGATTCTTGGCTGTACAATTTGCACACGAAACCTGCACAAAACAGGTCTTGGTCTTCCCAATCCTGGCATCGAGGTCACCAAAGACACAAACCAGAAATCAGAAACGAACGAAATGATATGATTGATATGATACCAGTATCTCAAAACTCTCATGACTCAAAAGTCAAATAACGTACCAATATCATATATAGCCTGCATCACATCATATCACGCTGCAAAGCTGATGCATTCTTACTTGAAAGTTCGAACAAAGGAAAATCCGAATCCTGACGCAAAAAAAATGTCAGCTTTCTGATTCTGTGCCCACCTTCATCCCAAATTTTGCGGCAGCTGGGCATTCCCGCTGGTGAACTTCGCAGTGTCCACCAACCCTGCCCACGCTTTAAGTTTCAATCTTCACTGAAGCATTTGACTGAAGCATTGAGACTGTCATTTCAATTGCAGTGAAGCCATCCATCTGCTAGGAAGCCTCGCGAACAACATATTGTGAAAGCAGTGGGCGGGCGAGTGGTTCTTCAGAAACCATCTTCGGGTGTCTGCCTTTGTTCAAGCAGCCAAAGTTAAGGCCGTTAAGGCGGCAACGTGCAGCAATCAGTGAGTGTGAGCGTCGAGCGTGCTGGTATGTGACTAAGACTGTGACTCGTTTATGACTCGTGGCTCCAAAAAGCAAAACCATATCAAATCATATCATATTATGTGAAAAATGTGGCCAAGCAACATGAATTTCTGATGATACTCTCTCAGAATAGTTGTGTTTCCCCACAAGTTGGTCTAGCGCATGGCACGGTGCACCTGAACCAGAGCACGCTGTGGAAATCACCTGAGCAACGTGACGACGATTCGGATAATGCTGGGAGTAGCGTCCTTGCTCCTAGTAGCGATACCAGGAGCCCCTAGTAGCGCCCTTGCTCCTAGTAGCGATGCCAGGAG